CATATTGCCATGCAGGGTCTTCTGCAGATCTTGACATGATTAAACTGTTTTAAGATGTAAAAAGTTAAAAATTAACCTGACAGTTCAACAAGAAAAATAATCACCATGTGTAGTGATAATATGTTGGGGTAGTTCATGTAGTCATATTTGTTGTTATTTGTTATTGCAAAATACCTCTATTGACAATAATATTTTCGTACATATCAATTACAAACATTCAGGATACTATAATACAAAATGCAAGCTCCAAACATGGCTACAACTCAATTATCAAGAACATATATTTTTTACACTAAAAAAATAATAATAAAAATAATTCTTCACATAGCCACCTAACATCAGTCATTCCAACTAAAAATGCATTAACAACAAATTAAAAAAATACAGTTTTGCATTAAAAATATAATAACATGCATTTTTTTCAACAAAAACTTTTAACACTAAAAATTTTAAATATGGTTTAATACCTCATGATAATTAAAACCTTGTCACGATTTTCACATCTTTTCGAAAAATCATCATTTTTCAAAAAATTCGATCATGGAAAAAAAAAAAAAAGTACAGCAAACTCACAATAAAAATTTAAAATTGGGTTTAATACATCATGATAATCAAAACCTTATCACGATTTTCACATCTTTTCGAAAAATCATCATTTTTCAAAAATTTTGATCACGGATAAATAAAAGAAAAAAAAAGAAGTACAGCAGATTTTTAGAAAATTCAATCATGGATTACAAAAAAAAATTCGATCATGGATTAAAAATAAAAAATAAAAAATTTTCAAAAAATTCGATCCTCGATTAAAAAAAAAAAATCACAAATTTTCAAAAAATTTGATCATGGATTAAAAAAAAAATCACAAATTTTCAAAAAATTCAATCATGGATTACAAAAAATTTGTGGATTACATAAAATTCGATCATGGATTACAAAAACAAAAAAAAACAAAAAATTCGATCATGGATTACAAAAAAGAAAAAACAATTCGATCATGGATTACAAAAAACTCTATCATGGGTTACAAAAAAACAAAAAATTCGATCATGGATTACAAAAAAAAAAAACAAACATTTCGATCATGGATTACAAAAAATTCTATCATGGATTACAAAAAAAAAAAAAAAATCGATCATGGATTACAAAAAAAAAAAAACATTTGATCATGGATTATAAAAAATTCGATCATGTATTACAAAAAATTCGATCATGGATTACAACAAAAAAAAAATTTCTGTTCTTCACAGAGCCATCTTACATAAGCCATTTTAACTCAAAAATCCACCTCTAAGCGAATAAATTACATCCAATTGAGTACATTTTCTGATAAACAACAATATAAGGAATCAAAACCCTAAATTTTGAACACATTATCATCAATAAATCAAATCAAATCGATTAAATTGAGCAAAAAAAAAAAACGCAGTTCTTCACAGACAACAGTCATAGAATCTAAAAAATGAAGCTCAAATTAAATAAATCAAATCAAATTGAATACATCTAATTATAAACAACACTATAACGATTAAAAACGCTAGAAATCTAATACATTATTTGTAATATATCATGAACAAAAAATCGAAAGGCGGAAAAAAAAAAAAAAAAAAAACAAGCAGAAATGTTTTTTCACAGACATCACTGTGTTAAATCATAATAGACACAATAAAGATTAAAAACCCTACAAATTGAACTCATTACCTTCAAAATATGCAGTGAAATTAATCATATGGAGGAAAAAAAAAAAACCCAAATTTCTTACCTGGTTTTGTGAACCCGAGCCTTTAATCTCCAAATAACTCTGTTTTTCTCAACGATTATCACAAATTCGTAACATAAGGTTTTGATGAATAACTTTACGATCAAAATGCCTACAAATTTTGACAGATTCATGCCCTATTTGGCATCAAACACAAGGAAAGGCGAAAACCCTAAAAATGCAACTTTTGTGATCCCAAAACACAAAATTTCTCAACCATTTAATCCGTGAAAAAGCTGAATAAAGCTGTTTAAAGCCTGCAAATTCGATCACATGCGAAAAAAAACAAGAAAAATGATCAAAAAATGAAAAATTTTGAAGAATCCCGTGAAGAACACATTGCAGCCCGTGTTCTTCATGGGACTCGCCGATTCTGTACAGTGAATCGACGAGTCACTGTACAGAATCGCCTGGTTCTCTCTAGAACCAGGCGATTCCCGATTTTTTGAGCAATTCGAGACGTCTATGGCCAATTCCCGAGTCGAACCGGACGAGTCCGGTTTGACTCGGCGTTTTTTTAAACACTGCTCCAAACAGATCTTGGTGAAAGTTATGACTTCAAAAGGTGGTCTGCACCAATCCCACATGTTGGAGAAAACTCGTACTCAAGTTGTGAAGTGAGCTTGAATGAGTCCTACATTAATCCAATGTCATCTCCAATCATTTTCTTAGGTGCTCCTAAAAGTTTAGATGGTACCTCATTTGACAAACATACTAGCCCTTTTGAGAACTCCTCAAGAAAAGGATCAAGGAACAAGTGCCACACAAAGTCAATTTAGAAAAAAGGGTTTCAAAACAATTAGGAATTGTAATTCACTAAAGTTTTACTCAAGGGTTTTAGGTTCTAACAATGATGAGACAGCATGGTTTTGGGCCATATGAAGATCTCTCAATTAAGATATTATGAAGTACAAATGAAGTCGAACTGATGGGGAAAGAATTGGATAATGTGAGGCCTAAATGAACTAGAACTACGGTTATGTTTATGGGGAAGGGTTGCTTAGGTGGCAAGGTGTAGGATAGCTTTTAAGGTTTCTAAAGGGGTCAAAGCCTCTGCAATTTTGTAGGTCCAGCAAGATAGGACGATGATGAGATGGACTGTAGGGTTGATTAAGGAAAATCTGGAGTTTAAACTTAAAGTTTGAAGGATATGAAGATTAGGTATCTGTTTAAGGTAGATTTTGAGATAGTTTACCTAAAGTTTGGACAGGTTTGGACGACTTTATGGGAAGATTTAAATGATTGACGAATTTGGCCGTCGGGAATCTTCAATGGATATATGCCACCCAAGAGAGGAGTTAAAAAGGCGCGTAAGCTTACTTGAGCAAACCTCCATTTCACAAACTAGGGTTTCGGGGAATATCCCTACCAAAAGATAAAGAGAAGCTCTAACCTTTGGGGGAGACTCTCCCAAACCTAGCCTAAAGTTGTAGAATTGTGCTTTCCACAAAAGGAGTCAAGGAATCTCTACTTTAAAGGTGGCCTCACGCCATAATCGGACGACCAAATTTCACCATTGAGCGTGAACTTGAATTGGCCATAGGTTTATACTTTATACGATTATTTATAAGAGTTCGAAGTTCTATTTGTCCTATATTTGGATTCATGCATGGAAAACGAACTTCTAAAGGCTTCAAGAAACTATCAGACTCAAGAGGTTTCCAATCTAACGAAGATTGAAACCTTAATTCCAGAAATCTAATAATTTTACAAACAAAAATTAAAACCCAATTATAATACGGACTCGATACTGAAAAGAAAGAAACCTAATACACTTGGGGGAAATAGGGAAATAAAATTTGTCACTAACTCTATTAGCAGGCTAACAAACCATAATGTGAAGCTCGAAACATCAGATTATGAAAATCCATAGAGATAGGGTCACAGATCTCAAAGAGACTTTCAAGTAATGCTATAAACATCCTTGTGTGTGTGCATCGAGAAAGAGAGAGACAGAGAGAGAGAGAGAGAGAGAGAGAACCTCAATCATCGGGGAGTTTTTAGGGATGTTGCAAGCCAGAATCACATTAAGACCTGTCTTCAGTACTGGAAGAGTAATCAGACAAATCCATCAATGCAGCATCTAAAGAGAATAAGTGAAGAACATAACAAACTAATACCAACAGCATCATATGAATACCTAGCCGTCGTGCGATAGAGGGCCCAGAGCTATCAGAACTCCCTCCGATCAAAGATGTTACACTTGACAAATTGCTCTGCAAGATTACATAGGCAACCCAACCAGATTCAATCAAGTTTGATGCAACCTATAACCAATAACCTTGCTAAAGCTCATCAAATCACAATACAGGCAAGGTGAGCATACTTACTGGCCGTGTGGGTGCTGCAGCATATAGATGTCCAAATTTTGAAGATTTGCATCCTATCCATATGTAAATCTGCATAAGATTTTTCATAAAGCCATATGTCACTAAACAATTCCATACATGTATTACTTAATCTAAAATTCCAATTAACATGATTTAGTTAATGTAATTATGGTCCATTATGAAAAATATATTAATAAATCTATAAAGCAATAGAAGTAAAGTCATCCACAAGGGAAAACTCAATGGTGAAAAACAGTGTAAGCAATCATAAACAGCTCTTTTTTGTTATTTATATATTTTAATCAATAGTTATTAAGAAGATCGAAAAATATATCAGGATTATGATGTTATTTAATAGAAACTCACACAAATTATTGCATGTCTGGTCCATCATAAATATAAAAAAAAATAGCTTTACTTCACCCCTCTTGCTCCATAAACTTGGTTAATTAACAAAAGGATCCAATAAAGGTCAAAATATGGGAGGAAGTCATGGGCGGCACCTAACCATTTCTGAAGCTCCAACCAAGGAATGCAAGGATAGGTGGAGTTCTTAGATATTATTTTCATAGTTAGACCCGTTTGTGTGGCTTGTCCTTTGCAGATGTGAGAGCTCTCCTTGTTGGTCTAAAATTCACACGATAGACCAGTCAATGCAGATGAAAGCTGTTAAAGATCACCTTGATGTTTTAAAGTCCGTGAGCAAAGCATCTCCACCCCAATGGCTGCACGTGATAGTTGGCAGGGGGAAGAATCTCTACTTACCTACTTATTGAGATCTTTGGCAGTTATCATTTAGATATATTTCGTTCTAGCTTGAATCTATGGAGTCTAATGAGCCAGCAGATGCACTCACAGAGTGAAGTGCCAACTGATAGCCCCTTAGCAGACGGCCAGTAGAGCAATTGACATGCCAACCTGTCATTTCCTTGACATAATGATTTTTTGTTCTAATTCGTTTACTTTAATGAATTATCATTCTTGATTAAAAAAGAAAAAGTAGAAAAAAAAAAAAAAAAAAAAAAAAAAGAAGAACAAATTTTATCCAGATGAGTAGATTTAACAAGCCATACTCTAAATCAATAGAATACCAAAATTAAATATTTGAAACATGAAAGGCGACATTTAACATGTCCTTCCAGTTAAGGAGAGTGGTTAAAGACTTGTTGGTGACAAGGCACAAGAGCAGAGCATGAAAAATAGAGGCATTACCATGTTATCTTAAGATCATATTTAATGTTTCTAAATTTGCAATTTTAGCATTGAGAACAATGTATTACAATGGTATTCCTATTATGCAAGACCTAGACGCGTTTCGGCCTTCTCAGAAACCAAGACTAAAGCACACCCATAACCAGTGTTTAGAAAGGCAGAGGCAGCAACCTAGATACCTGAGCAATATATATATACATATATATATATATATATATATATACATATATATTGCGTGCGTGTGCGTGCACGTGTGTGTCTATGTCTGTCTGTGTATGAAGCCTCACATCAAATACTTAAAGGTCATCTTCTTTTTATCTTATTTCATATGTAGAGTATGGGAGAGAGTATATGGGTCCATATGTGCATGTGAGAGAGAAAAACAGATCTCACATCAAACATTTGGACATCATCTTCTTCTTCTTCTTCTTTTTTTTGATAATTGTTAACTTGGATATAAAAGGTCGAGAAACAGTACATAGTACAAAGATAGGCTAAGCCTAACCTGTGAATATGTCCCAGAGGGGAGGACCAAGAGCAGTCCAGTGACAAGTTGGACTTTACATTTAAGTAGAAAGCATGGTGGGGCTTATATAACTGTCCAGGTACAAAAGTGGACAAAAGGAAAAAGGGCCAATTACTACCCTTGTACAAAGTATGTCTACACTATTCAAACTGTGAGGGAGGTTGTCGAACTGCTGCTCTAGCGAGTGCGTCTGCGGTTGCATTTGCAGTCCTTCGGGTATGCTGCCATGTGACTATCAGGTCCCTGCATAAATGGTAAATCTTATCAAAGATGTGACTCAAGTACCAAGGAGGGTCACTTTTCCCAGATCCCCAGGTTATGATGTTCTTGGCATCTCCCTCTACGAGTAGGGTTCTTCCCCACGAAAGGTTAAAACGTTTGATTCCATTTAGAAGGGCCAAAGCTTATGCTGTTTGTGAGTCTTTTGTTCCTATAAACACCGAGAAGGAAAGGAGGATGGTACCTTCAAAGTTTCTAAACACTCCTCCAATGCCTGCCGGACCAGGGTTACCTAAGGAACAACCATCAAAGTTGAGTTTAATTTGCCCTTCTAGGGGAGGGGTCCAATCTGGGATGGATTTCATTTTTCTGATGGGTGAGGACAAGCAGATTACTCCAATCTTGTATAAATGAAGATGCCGAGATACCCATAAACAATTTGTGGTTGGTAGCCCAAAAAATAACAGAGTCTGTTATTTTATGGAAGAGAGAAAGGGTGAAGCACTTTTCCCCTCGAAAAATTCTATAGTTTCTTTCCTTCCAAAGGTGCCACAGGGTAGCCACCAAGGATGCTTTCCACAGAATTTTTCCTGATTTTCTCCATTTGTTCTCGAAAGAACGGGCTAACAGAGACTGGATGGAGGGTGGGATCACCCACGTCAAGTTGAACAACTGGATAAGTTTGCTCCATATAGAGAAAGCAAACTTGCAGTGTAATAACAGATGTTTAATATTTTCTTCCTCCTCTAGAGCACATTACACATCTGTTAGGTATTTGAAAACCTCTTTTTTGGAGATTATCAATAGTTAATGGTTTTCCTAGAGTTGCAAGCCATTAGAAAAATTGGGCTCTAGGTGGAGCTATGGAATCCCATGCTTTGTTAGAGATGTCCGACACCTCATTATCCTCTGCTAGAACCCTGTAAAAAGATTTCACCGAGAATCTTCCTTAAGGGGAGGGAGTCCAAATCATCGAGTCATCTTCTTCTTATATGTATAGAGAGCATATGGATCCATGCATGCTTTGTGTGTGCGCAGAGAGAGAGAGACAGAGCTTCGCATCGAACACTTGGAGGCCATCTTCTTTTTCTTCTTCTTCTTATATGTAGGGGTGGCAACGGGTCGAGCACAGGTCACGTCTGGGTATTCGGGTCCAAAATTTGGACCCGTCTCCGCACTCGTCGGGTCCCGGCTCTGGTCAGATCCATTGCCACCCTATGACTATGAGCTTCTTTTTTTTTGCCAATGATATAGTATATGTTTGCCAATATTGTGACAATATGAACACCTAGAGCGCGCCTAAAAACACACGATTGCCATCATATACCCTATGACTATGGGTATGGGTCAAGTCCAACTGGACCCGGACCTGAATAATATTCAGGTATAATTTAAAAAAATTGGACCCATACCCAGACCAGGTATGGATATACCCGTCGGATCCCAGGTCTAGTAGGGTCCATTGCCACCCCTACATATAACCGAGAGCATTATTCAGCCCTCCCCAAGCTGCATTTAGTTGCCCGCCTTAAGGCGAGCAACCAGGCAGCACCTAGACGCACACCCGCCTAGGCATTTTCAAAAACTAGGCAGCCAAGCTGAATTTTTCAACCTTGTCCATAGCTAATAAAGTAGCTTCCACATGACCACATCATTGAAATCAAGGACTAAACCATTGCCCGTATTTTCTTCATCTGGTAACATCTGAAGGCAATTCAACCACATCATCAGTTAATTTAGGGACCTTGGTCCTTGTATGGGAGCAGTGTTAGTTTCACGTCAGAGGTGACCAACTACTAGGAAGGAGAACTAGTTCAATTAGGAGCAACAGTGTAATGTTGGCGAATGGGATAAGTCAATAAAAGTTCTAGTTGGGCGTAGGGATTTATTAAAATAGATTATTGGACCAAGAGCCAACTAGGAGTGCTGCAGGCTTCAAGTTTTTTTTCTGGTTGCTACCGTTTGAGGTGAACTTTTGTTTCAAACTTTCAATTGCTGCATAGTTTTTTCTCCCTTCATAGAAATTTTCTTATCTCATGGAAGGGAAATATTTCTGAACAAATAATGGTTTTAACAATTAACTGTTCTGAATATGTGGATGAATATAAAAAAAAGGCATATACCCCTACTAATTGCTAGAAGCTACATTACCTAAACAAGGACATGGGTTTCAAACAAAATGCGGGTAATGGTTGTTGAATGGAATAAAAATAAATTAAATAAATAGGGCCTTGGACACAAGGGATTTTTTTTCTTTTTATCTTTTTCTTTTTAAAAGTTAGTGAGTATTTTATATAATCAAACGAATGCACCCTACAAAAATTTACCAAGCACAAATATCATCTCTCCCTTCAACGACCTCATGATAACATGCACAAAATGAAAAATTCAAAGATAAACTCAAAAAATATAAGGATATTCTGATTGGATCATTTTATTAGTCAATGGCAATAGTTAGAAAATATTAATATCAGTGTTCGCAAAATCGAACCGGAACGGTTAACCAGGCATGGGCCTGGAAGCGATTTAACCGGCCTAACCGGTAAACCGGCCTAACCGGTAAACCGGCCTAACCGGTAAACCGGCCGATTCAACCGCTCTAACCGGGCAAGTCCGGAATGATTAAAAAAATGTTTAAAAAATAAAAAAGAAATGAAAAAAATCTACTAAAATATGAAAAACATATAAAGAATGTGATTAAAACAAAACACACTCAAATGAAGTTGAAAATAAATGAAAAAATAGATTTTAACGAGTCGATTTGTGCCGAGGGGTATTTTTAAAATTTTCTGAAAAGATAGGAAAATATAAAAGTGAGTATCAATGACCAAAATATTTTTAATCTTTACCATAATGTAAAGAATATTAAAATAGTGTTAAAAAAATTGACTTCACCAACTCTTTTTTTTAAAGAAAATGATCTTTCTTTCTTTTAAAAAAAATGATCTTTTTTTACCTTTTTTTTTTTTAAAGAAAATGATCTTTTTTTTAAGAAAATGATCTTTTTTTTCTTAAAAGACTATGAAGAAAAAATTATATTATATATAATATTAGAGTAATGATCTTATGAGAGCCTCCCACACCCATGTGTGTGGGACCCCAAAGGATCACCATGAAATTTGGCACTGATCTCTAGAAAAGTTATCACATGGGTGTGAGACTTGATACTTTTCTAGAAAACTGTGCCAAATTTAATGGTGATCCTTTGGGGTCCTACACGCATGGGTGTGGGAGGGTCTCATATGATCATTACTCATAATTATAAACCCTTATTTTTATCAACTAAGTAGTAAATGGTGATCAAGTAATAAATGGCATATGGTTTTTTAACTAATTCATTTAATGGTGATCCTCTCGGGTCCTACACACATGGGTGTGGGAGGGTCTCATAGGATCATTACTCATAATTATAAACCCTTATTTTTATCAACTAAGTAGTAAATGGTGATCAAGTAATAAATAGCATAAGGTTTTTTAACCAATTCATGGTTTTTTAAAAGAAAAAACGCACATGGTTTTTGAACCAATTATAATTCATGGGTTTTTAAAATGCTGGTGGTGGGATTCGAACCCCGGTTCATATAAAATTCACTCGTCAAAGCTAAATAATACGCCATTCCAACGTATTTGATATGAATATGAAGTATTACGCTATTTAAAGTTTAAAATACTAGGTGACCACCAAAACCGGAACCGGTCGCTGGCCGGTTCCGTTCTAACCGGCTAGTTAGCAGTTAGATCGGCCGGTTTTGCAAACACTGATTAATATACACTAATATATATGCGATATAAAATTATCAACGACAAATGCGATATAGAATTATCAACGAATAGATGTGTCACATCATGCACTAGCAACAACAATTATAAATAAAAACAAAAATTGTAGTTTAAAACTACGTAAAACCATAATCACCCACCCAGGTTTTTTCTCCTCATGTTACTCTTTTAGGATTCTCAAAGTGTTTTTTTAAGTAGTATTGGTTACTGAAGTGCCTAACACTTAGGAGTTTAGAGATCCAAACAAGTATCAAAGACTGACAATTCACTGGTTTTCATGCATCCAAGACTCCAGGGAAACTAGTTTAAACTAAGATAAATGGATTGTTCTGAAAACTAAGAAGCCATAAATCTACATTAGTAAATAGAATTAATTCACAAAAATCAAGGCATTTGTTGCAAGTTTTTTTTCAAGGATTATACAGCTGGCCTTTCAATAGTAGACCGGTAATTTCAAGAGTCCAACCAGAGAAAGACTAATTCATCCTCAATTTCACTCTTGGTCAGGAAAATAAAAATTGAAGTTAAGAAACTGTTTCAGCCTAAGTTAAATTGGGAACAGACTCAAAACAAAGGTGGTCAACATCACGTCTTGAGTTCCATTCCCACCAAGTCCCAAATTAACATTTAAAAAAAAAAAAAGAAGAATAAAGGCCAAGTTGATTTCTTACATTATGCAGTGAATACATACTCGAGGCAATAGGAAGTGAGAAGCTGGAAAAAGAGCCTCACCTGCTTAGCAAGTCGTATGATCTGAAAATGAAGAGTAGCATCGTGCAACACTTCAGTAAAACAGTGGACTTGCAGGTCACTATCAATTTTTTGATTCTCCAAGTTCAACTTCTCAATCTCAGTAACCTCATTTGGAAAGGTGTTTGCTCCTTCATGGTCCCCATTTAAATGGCCAATCTCATGTACAATGGAGCCACCATTTTCTCGAGTGGGCATCACTACAGTTCACTTGCTTTAGACTGGTCTTTCTTGTAAGGGATTAATCAGATTCAGTCAAACAACCTGATCATAAATCATTCCCAGGGGAATGGAAGGATTGAATACAAAATAAATTATGGTTTCAAAAAACTAAAACATATCTTTCAAAATTTATTTTGGGTTTTCTCCATCCCTTGGCAAAATCCAGGATACCGAAGTTCCAATAGGTACCCATTGTGCCAATACACAGAAAAAATCTGAACTGATTCACCAGATCCTGGCCTAAATCAGCTCAAATTTGAACTCTTATTTGATTTAGTTCAAAATATAAAAGATACAACAATCAACTTTCTACATAGAAGCAATAAAAATTAAGGCACCATTTGATTCAAAAAATTTGAAGTACATTAAAAGTTTAAAATTACAATTTAATTGTAGATTGAAGAATTCTTATTTGTTTTGTGGGGGTGTTTCAAAGCTTTCCACAGCTATACACTTCAGTATTGTTCAAATTAAACAATGTGTTTGATTATCTTTTTCAAAATGCAATCAAACATGTTCCCTACCAACACAAAAAGTGAGAGAAAAGAGATAAACACAGAAAACACAGGAACAATGGCACAAGGGACTTCCACAATAACAAATTAATCCCCCTTGAGCTTAAATAGGAGCAATCCAAAGCGAGAAAGATCAGGAAAGCAACCAAGTTAACACAATTCCACACACCCAGAATAAGATATCCAAGAAAACAGAAGAATTCTACAGATTCACAATAGATTTTAGGAGAAATATTTCCTCATTCTCAGCAAACAGGAAACTTCCAGAGATTTTTTTCTTTTCATTGATCAATGTTGAAAATAAAAGCCTGAAGTATTGCAGGAACGTCAAACGAACAATCTGATTCGATTTTGCAGGAACATCTAGCGATGACATATTTTAAAAAGATAATGTAATACTTTTATTATCAAGTGAGTTTCTCTCTCACCTTCTATAAAAGCAACTTGATTTCGTGGTGGAAGAGAAGTAATCCACCCCTTCTTACTATTTCATGTTCATAATAAGGAACACGAGGAATGGTTTTATTGATTCCTAATTGTTTTGAAACCCTTGTTGCTAAAATGACATTGTGTATCACTTGTTCCTTGATCCATTTCTTGAGGAGTTCTCAAAAGTGTTAGTACGTTTGTCAAATGAGGTACCATCCAAACTTTTAGGAGCACCTAAGAAAATGATTGGAAAAAATATTGGATTAATGTAGGACCCATTCAAGCTCACTTCACAACTTGAGTACGAGTTTTCTCCAACATGTGGGAATGGTGCAGACCACCTTTTAAAGTCATAACTTTCACGAAGATCTGTTTGGAGAGATCCAAAGCTTGAACCGAATATCTCTTTGAGATCTACGAGCATATTTTTATTGATATTTTGTAATTCTAGTGTTTCTAGGTTCAAATCATGGTTGAAAACTTGTTAAAAAACTAATTAAAGTATATCATCACCATCAGAGCCTTATCCCAACTATTTGGGGCTGGCTACTTGAATCATGTTCCGCTATTCTGCTCTATCAAGGGTCATACTCTCCGTAAGACCCAAAAAATCAACAAAGTGTATAACGTTTCTTTTTTCTTTTTTTTATTGAGTCCTTATTGTAACCAGGTTTTAATTTTAGATTATTTAGGTTATCAGGTTACTAGAAAGTTCCAATCCTAGTTGGATTAGAGACATTTGAGTTAGATTTCTAGCGTCATTAGGAGTTTGTTTTCTTTCTTTTCAAGAGTCCAAGTATAGGGCAAATGAGCCTATTGCCAATTCATATTCAAGTTTAGTAAAATTTGGGTTCTTGATTGTGGTTAAAGGCCACCTTTAGTGGAGAGATACGTCAACTCTTTTTGTAGAGAGTGATTATAGAACTCTAGCCTAGTTGGCGAGTTTCTCCAAAGGTTAGAGCGTCGCCTTCTTTTGTTGCAGATTTTCTCCAAAACCTTGCTTGTGGATTGGAGGTTTGGGTACCCCCTCTTCTTCTTTTAGGGTAGGTATTTCCTAAAATCCTAGCTTGTGGATTGGAAGTTCTACACATTTGAGTTTGAGCCTCCTTATTCATTCCCCTAATGCGACAAATCTCCATCCAAGATTCCTACAACCAAATTTGTCACCCATTTAAACCTTTTCATGGTCCCTAGACAAACTTATCAAAACATAGGCAAACTAGCTCAAAAGCTACTCTAATCATAAATCTACCACTCATAGCCTTTAAACTTAAAGCTTAAACTCAGGATTTGCTTTAATTCAATCCTAGAATCCATTTTATCATCCTCTTCTATTGCTCGACCACCTAAATTCTAGACAGCTTTAACCCTTTCAGAACAATGTAACTTATCCTGAGCATTGCCTTAACATAAAGCAAACCTAATTCTACTCCAACTAGGGAAACCTTCATATGCCCAAAATCATGCTGTCCTAATCTACCATAGGAACCTAAAACCCTTGAACACAAAATTAGAATTCCTAGTTGTTCTCAAACATTTTCTTGCTACATCCACCTGGCATGTCACAGTTGTGTTGGAGCCAAGCCCCGTGTTCTCCCTTCCCCCACCCCTTTCCCTCTCACTCATTCACACATACACACACATTATATTACCATTAAAACATATAAGCATGCTTTAATAGCTAAATTTGTCCAATTTCCTCCTTCAACATCATCATCATCATTGAAGTCTTATGTCTTTTCCCAACTAATTGGGATCGGCTACATGAATCTTGGTCCACCATTCTACTCTATTAAAGGTCATACCCTCAATGAGGCCGTAAGTCCCCATATCTTTTCTCAATACCTTCCAACCATGTCCTTTTAGGCTTACCTTCCAATTTCCTTCTAAAGCATGTTTTTTACTTTTTCTCCCTTGATGAAATGCCACGCATATCTCTCACTTGATGCATATGCACTTTGTTCCTCACCTTAATTACATTTGGAAACCCTGTTTTTTATTTGCTTTTATTGGGATTATCTTTCAGGCTGATGCTGAGGGAAAACTACTAGAGAAGCTCAAGAGTTTGGGATATGTTAGGCCAAAACCAGGAGATGCATCCCACTCCTCTGCATGAATGCAATCGAAGAACAATTGAGCATTTCAATGTTGCTAGGTTTGGAATTTCGTGATATAGCCCATATCTCTCCCTATCTCATGAAAAGAATTTGTTTCTACGTGGTTTCCCCATATCCAAGCATGTTTTTTTTGTTTAATCAAGTGTCCATTTTCTCGATAAAGTGCACATTAAAATGAGCCTGCAGGTCACCAGTTTATGGCTGTACTTGCAGCATCTGGTTCTCAACTTCCCACTTAAATGGGTTATCAAGGGGCTATGATTTCCCCTTTGGAAAATGTATTTCTATTGTTATGTATGTATGAAGGTAGGCTTTAGGGATTATGGAAGACAAGCACCAGAGGCTTGGTGTTTTAGCAAAAATTGCCACTTATTCTTTTTAGTAGCGTTGGAAATTTTATTTGCAGTTAAATAAAACCATTTTGAAGCAATCTTGTGATAATCCCAATCACTTTTTTTAATTACACCCTACTTTCATTGTCATCTTCGTATCATCAAGTATGGAAACCATATGTTACAAACATGATGATGTTTCTACTCTATTCGTTTTGATGGTCAAGAGCCCAGCCTTACACAACAAGAAAAATCCATTGTAATTAGGGCTGCTACTGGGCCGGCCAGTTCGAACCTGGGAAAGCCTGAAACCATTTTGGCCTGGGCCAGGCAGGCCCGACCCGAAAGTTATGATTATGGAGACCGGCCGAATATATTTTATTAAGCCCAGAACGGCCTGCACATGGCTCGAAAGTGTCTGAGCCTGGGCCGGCCCAAATATAAGCCCAACCCGTCCCATTTAGAAGCTTCTTTTTATTTCTCTTCATTCAAACTTTTCTTGTTTGTAAGCCAAAAAGAATTTTACAAAAAATTATGTTAAAACATTTTTTAGAAAATTTAAAACTCCTAAGAAGGCATTGGGAAATAAAAAATATTGGGAAGAGGGATGGGGACATGTGGACACTCACCCACTTCATTCCACCACCCCCACCGCCCCCTTCTCTATCTATAAACCTACTCGATCTCTCTCTAAAAACCTATTTTTTCACCCCACCGTCCTCTCTATTTATCTTTCTAAAAATCCATTCTTTCTCTCTAAAATTCTATTTCTCAAACTTTCTTCTCTCTTTTCTAAACCCATTTTCTCTCTAGTTTTCTTCTCAACAAAAAGGATGAGCACACATTGCTTTCTAATAGATTTGAAGTAAAATATTTGAGAGATTCCAAAACTTCATATACTTCTAATACCAACTGTTTGGCCGTGGATGTTAGAGAGCATATTGTATGCATCGTTTGTGTTGTAGTCGAATAGAAAGAATAAAAAGAAAGCCGAATGTATAATTTGAGATATTAGTGGAAATCAATTATACAAGAGTTAAATTAGAAAATAATATGATAGATGTGTTTAATTAAGTAATTGTAAAGTATTATTTTATTTAACAAGCATGTTTAGAGCATTTATCATTCTCTGGATTAAGTTATAAAGTTGAAAACTTGCAATTTGCTATAAATTCTGAACAATTCACAACAATTTCAATTCTAATTTGAAACCAGGAGTACATTGACAACGGCGGTCATTTCACTAGCAGAGGTTATTGACCATTCAAAAACAACCATAACCATTCCAAATTACAAGATTAACTACGAACCGCAGTCATTCACTAGCAGAGGTTAGTGACTATTCAAAAACAACCATGAACATTCCAAATTACAAGATGGACTAAGAATGGAGGTTAGAGACTATTCAAAAACAACCATGATCATTCCAAATTACAAGATTGACTAGGAATGAAAATCTACAAGATTGACTAGCAAGTCTATGCGAAATAATTCCGATGAGAAGAAAAAAAAATAGCATTTAATAATGAAGGGCAAGTCTTTGTGAAATAATTTCGATGAGAAGAAAAAAAACATTAGTTATTAGTCAAGAGACTCTCCTGGTCCTAAGCTACAAACTCTAATATAATTTTTCAAACCTCCTACTAGCTCGAGTAAAGAAATAGATAATCAAATATACACATCCCTTGCACTCATCGGGATCATTTATAGTAGCTCAGTGGTCGATCACTTCTTTTTCAAACCTCCAACTATCTCGAGTAAAGAAATAGATAAATAGATACATCCCATTGCACTCATCGGGATCAATCATTTCTTTTTCAAATCCTACTATCTCGAGTAAAGAAATAGATAAATAGACACATCCCATTGCACTCATCGGTATCGTTTGTAATAGCTGAGTGGTCGATCACTAAGAAGTGAGTTACAGTTATTTGTATTATACTTATACCAATCATTTTTCTCTTCTTATGGCTAGATCCAATCTACTGGTATCACGTTCTTCCTTTCGCGAAGGGAAAATCAAGAAAATACTTTTATCGCTATTTTTATGTCGGGCTTACTTGAATCATAATTATATTAGTCACCTCCAATGTTTCAAATCTACTAAGCAGATACGCTTTAACTTCCCACATTCAATTCAATTACATCACCTCCAATCTCAAACTTAAGTTTTTGTTCTCGTTCAGTAATTTCATAACCCACCTAGTCTAGAAACAGATTCATGCCTGACGACAGATCCCATAAATTTTTAGATCTTATTTTAATCCATTCTAGCCTCCTACGCTTATAAGCATCCTGGCATTAGAAATAGCGAATCATGCCTAATGAGCGTTTGCATGCCAAAAAGGTGCATATGACATATACTATGTTTGTAACTTTTAAAAGTGAATTGTTAACTCTTTACATGAACTTAACAATTATTTCCCATGATATTTATGTTGTGTTGTTCTAAAAGACTATGTTAAACACCACAATCAAATTTTATTATCTTTTATGTGATTTTCTCCTTTTTATCGAGAATAAAATTGACAGATATTGAGCAGAGTTCAAGACACATCAGCCTATTGATATCAGATGGTTGTCCAACGGCTGGTATACCATATACAATCGAAATGCCATCCCAATAGAGCCTTCCTTTTAAGATTTTTGTGCGCCTTTTAACCTTAAATAAAAAAATTAATATCTTTCCAGACCAATCAACTCTTATCAAAAGACCTTTACTGAGTCCTTTTTTTTATTTTTTTTAGGTAATTTAGTGGAGATGACAAGCCCCTACCCGTTTTTTAAATCATTAGAGGTTTTTTAAAGGGTTAGGTGAGAATAGAAGCCTAAACCGTAGCTAGGGCACATCTGGTGCTACCACCACGACCCCAACCCCATTCTCCCTTTACTGAGTCCCTTTTCTTTTCCACCTTGCATAATCTTTTTCGATGCACATGGCAACCCCCGCCCCAATGGCCCCCCTCCGGGGGCTCTCTCTTTCACACACATGTGCATAGTCTCCTTTTTGTATGCCGCAAGTGTCATTGCGCACACAAGCTATTTCCTACATTGAACATCCACATTCCAATCCCAGATACATGTTTTACATTTGTGTTGAGGAAAAGAAAGAAAAACATGGATAGTTGCCACTCTATCATGAATTTCCTTATATTTGCCCCACTGAAATGGTCGAGGCAAGCACAGAGTTTTATGATAATAGCAAATGTCTTCCAATACGTTGTTTTCACAGTTAAGTATGAAAATTAGTACACAAAGAATGAGTTCCTCATAAATAAGGGAAAATTATAGGTACTCCTCAAAATTAACTTTCTAGACATCCTACCCCGAATACTTTTTGTATTATACCCCAGATCCCAACATTGTTTTTTTGTATTTACCCCCAATCAAGAAGTCAACAAAAATTATGACAAAATTACCTTTTTTTCTCTTTTCCCTTAAGGTTTTTGTTATTCACGTGTCAACACTTTCTCTCTCACTCTCTCTATTTGCCTTCTCTCTACCACTCTCTACATGTCTTCTCTACTCTCCTTCCCTCTCACTTTCTCTCTCTACATATAATGTTTTTGTAAGCCCAATGAAGGGACCCCCACCCCAACACCCAAAACCAGGTTTTGCACCATCTCTCCCCACCATGCACACACCCCAAATCTTCTTTATCCTTTTCTCTCTAAAATCTTCTTTTCTCTCTCTACCATGGCTTCCTCCCTACAAGCCATGGGTTCCCTGAAGGTCCATTGTTTCTTTGTGCTCTTACCCCCGGTAAACATAGAAGACCCTCTATAATTGCTGCCATCATGCCCTCTCTCTTTCTCTCTCTCTAAAAAGTCCCCATTGCCTCACATCTGTTATACTGAATAAATGTTTTTCTTTGCACAAAAGCCAAAATTACAGCTAAAAGACCAAAATAACTGCATTAAACTAATTTGTAAGTTTATGCCAAAAATCATAGATTTCAACAAACAAGCTTAGCAACAGCAGTTGAATGGTTTTAAACAAACAAGGATAGTAAGTTTATCCCATAATCAAAGATTTTTTAGAACCCATCTGAAGTAGCTAAGCTCAATAATGACAGACATACAGACTCGAAATGCTATTTGGATGCCTCCTCATGAAAATTGTTTAAAACTCAACTTTGATGGAAGCTCGATTGGAAACCCGGACCTAGCAGGTTATGATGGTACCATTACAGATCATATGGGTAATTACAAATTCACCTACTCAGGACCTTGTGGACATACAACAGTGAATGAAGCTGAGGCAAGAGCTCTTTTGGAGGGTTTAAAGATAATAAAGAACCAAAAGATGATTGAAGGTGATTCAAGCAATGTTATTGCTTGGGCAAAAGGAGAAATGAAGTCACTTTGGAGATTAAGCAACATTTTTGATAAAATATATTTCATTTTAAGTAGTGGTTCTTTTGAGTTATCTCATTGTTTTAGGGAGGCTAATATAGAAGCTGATGGTTTAGCAAAGGGTGGTGTGCGCCAACATTCATTGGTGGTTACATCCTTTTCTTCTTGAACCTCCTTGTTATTGTTCACGGGTGAATGAGCTTCATAGTAACCGATTTCACTCTCTCTCTATCTCATTGCTTCACCTCATCTTCCAACCCCTTACTGCAAATCTTCCTCCCTCTACAATGCCCACTTTTTATTGGTGGCCCTTCTCCCTATATTCTCATCTTGATACTAACCCTTCTTCTCCCCCAAACCTACTTTTTATTGATGGTCTTGTCCCCATATCCTACTCCCATTTTTTTTGTTGAAGCCATCGCATAAGCAAAAACCCGTCTCTGATTTACTGGGGTAGAGAGAAAGTGAGAGAGGGCGGTTAGAGAGAGAGTGAGAGAGAGGTTGGGTAGAGAGAGAGAGAGGTCGATTGAGAGAGAAAGAGAGCAGACGGAAGAGAGAGAAAGAGAGAGGAGGATTGAGAGAGAAGTTGAGTACAGAGAGGAAAAGCACATTTTTAGCAAAATGTTTTTGACTTCTTGATTGGGGGTAAATAAAATATAAAAAAAAAACAGTGTTGGGGTGTAGGGTATGATATATAGAGTATTGGGGGTAGGATGTCTAGAAAGTTAATTTGGGGTAAATTTCAGGCACTAATGTGAGTTTATAAAATCCCACAATTGGTGGGTTACGAATGAACCTCTCATACACTAAACAAGGGGCTGGAAACACCAAAAGAATGAACAAAGACCAACAGCATCCATCTGTATCCCATGTCCACTCACCAATAGTCTCTGCAAGAGCACTCACCATACTTAAAATGGTGGAACCTCTTTCCATCCCTCACAATGATCTCCCTCTCCACAACCTTAGACATGAACTTCATTGCAGTGTGGCAATCCCCACATATCATCAACTTCTTCAAAACCCTAATCTCTGAACCCGGCGGCAACTTCAACAACCCGAAATCCACTGCCAGTTTCTCACTATGTGTCGACAAGCCATATTCTTTTTGCTCCAACCCCACATCATGTAATACAAACCGGGTATCTGGAACGTAACCGAGCTTACTCATACTCGCACCTAGCTTCTCTAGTAATGCATACACCTCTTGCACACAAGGGTGCACCGTATCATCAACCAAGAACACATGAACTTGGTTATCAACCTCTATCCAACTACATCCTAGCTCCTTCTTCACCCCCATGTCTTTCATGGCGTTCCTCACCTTTGCCACTCCTTCCCATTTCCCTATTGATGCGTACATGTTCAAAAGAAACACATAAGTGCCGTTATGTCGAGGCCTCAATTTGAAGAGGCGCTCAGCCGCCATCAATCCGAGCTCCATGTCCCCATGGTTTCTGCACCCAGCTAGCAATGCCTCCCAAACACAAGCATCAAGGTAAAATGGAATGGTTTCAACTGTGTGTTTCGCCTCTTGGAGGCGGCCCGCCCGTCCTAATAGATCGACCAAGCGAGCGAAATGGTCAGGACCAGGCTTAATGCCATAGGCTTTGTCCATGAGGTCAAAATATTTGCAGCCCTCATTTACTAGACCAGTGCGGCTACACGACGATAGCACTGTGAGGAACGTAACCCTGTCAGGCTTGTACCCTGCCACGAGCATGCGCTCAAATAACATTATGGCCTCGAAGCCCTGACCATGTTGTCCTAGGGCCGCAATCATTGCATTCCAAGACACCGCATCAGGTGTAGGCATGAATCGAAAGGCTCTCTCAGCTGCTTCCACTGCACCACACCTTGCATACATGGTCACAAGTGCATTGCCTACTGATACACTAGAGTCGAGTCCCAATTGTATCAGTTGGGTATGCAGTTGGGTATGAAGTTGTGCACCATGACGTAAAGTCCCTAGTGATGCACAAGCTGTAAGGGCCCTGGCAAATGCAAAATCACAAGGCTTAGAGTCCTCGTGCCTCATTCTATTAAAAAGCCTCAGGCCCTCCTCACCTTGGCCATGTTGAGCTGACCCAGTTATCATCACAGTCCAAGTACGCTCATTCCTTTCAACCATTTTCTCAAAAATCTCTCGAGCCTCTGTGATCATGCCTAAGGTTGCGTACCCAAATACCATTGCATTCCATGAGACCAAATCTTTCTCTCTCATTGCATCGAAAACTCTTGTTGCTACCTCCATTCTCCCACATTTTGCGTACAAGGACACGATCGCGTTCCACACTGGCAACGATATCTCTGCCTCTCTGTGTACGATGTAAGCATGTGCCTCCATGCCCGTTCGCACAAGTCCTATATTTGCACATGCACTAAGCAAGCTTGTATATGTAAACTCATCGAGCATTATGCCTTTACCATACATATCTCGAAACAAATCGAGGGCCTCCATATACAATCCATGTTGTGAATACCCTGCAATCATTGCATTCCATGCCACATCAAATCTCTCCCTCATCACTTCAAACACTTTACGAGCGCTCTCAAGGTCCCCAACCCTAACAAATCCAGTAATCATTGTAGTCCATGTAAACTCATCTCTCTTCAGCAATTCATTAAACACCTTAGAAGTCAAACCCAACTCCCCGCATTTTACATAGAGAGATATCAAAGCATTTGAAACCCAAATTCTGGTCCTCAAGCCCAGCACACACACTCGAAGCAGCTGTAAAAGTGAACCCATCAGGCCCAGGCTTGCCTTGCTCAAGCATGGCTCTAAAAAGAGATAAGGCCTCGCGAAACTCGCCATGGTGGCCGCAGGCCGATATCATGGCGTTATAGCCATTGTATCACGGGTGGGCATCCTGTCAAAGAGTTGGCGCACGACCGCAAGGGCACCGGCGCACGCGTGAGTGGCAAGCAAGGTGGTGCGTGCGACTACATCTCTTTGAGGCATTCGGTCGAACACATGGTGCGCGCAAGTTAGGTCTTCCGTGCTGCAATAGAAGGCGATGAGGGGGTTGAGGAGGTGGGCGCGTGGCTTGAGGCCGGAAGTTATGATGAGGGCGTGAATGGCCCGCCCTTGTGAGCGCGATTGGGTCCGGGTGGAAGCTTGGAGGAGGGAGGCCAGGTGCCATGAGGTCGGATGTGGGCTCATAATGGTGTCCTGTTTCGTGGGTAAATGATAAGGTGCATGCTTCAAGACAAGGGGGTGTGGTCATGGTTGGGGTGCGAGTATGGCTTCGGCCTTGTGTTCCCCGGGGGTTTTTTGGTTTTTTTTTTTATTTGGTAATTCAATGGGGATCACAGGGCATGTTTTTTAATTAATTAGTGGTTTTTGAAGTTGTTAATGGGATGGAAGCTACAACGTGGAAATGAAGTATGAGGTGTGCTACGACTACGACCTCAGCTCTTTTGCCAGGATTTTTTAATACTCTCTAATGCAATAGTGTAGCCCTCTTAAAGGCAATTTATATGCACTAATTCTAAGGTTTGTGTCATGGTTAGCAAGGTAAGAACTAGAAATTGGTGGTATAATAACGATGGGAAAAAAGATTATAGGAGGCCTAGGCTTTATAATTAAAAAAGGTAAAACATTAGAAACATAGTTGTGGCCCAAAAGACACTTATCTTGATCATATCAATTGGCCCATCTTAAAAATCCTGCTAGAAAATGGAGCTTCAATGGTGGAAAACACCCAAATCAATAATTTCGACTTTGACTATTATGGATCTAGAAATAAAAAAGATTTTAAGTTTTAAAATAGCATCTATATTTTATAACGTATTATTTAGACCATCCATCTTCAATTGTTTAAGAATTCATTAGATCTGCATCTTTTCTATGGCTTCAAATTCATAATCATAAGCAAATTTTACGACACCAAAACTACATCTCCCAGCAAGGTTTCAAAAGTGTGACTTCAACCATTTAGGAACATAAAGATAAAAACCCAAACCACCAAAACCCAATTAATCAGACACAAAATTTGTTCTAAGCAAATTTTACGATACCAAAACTACATCTCCCAGCAAGGTTTCAAAAGTGTGACTTCAACCATTTAGGAACATAAAGATAAAAACCCAAACCACCAAAACCCAATTAATCAGATACAAAATTTGTTCTATATTTCTACAATTCAAAGGGTAAGAAAAATGCAATAAATCCCCAATTGCATACTTACTTGTGTGCTTGCAGATAGATTGAACAAGCCAACGTTGTGTGTATACTTCCAGAAATATGCAAAGCCCTGTAAAAATTAAAAGAGAGATAATGGGGAACTGTGAGAGAGATAGTGAAGCAAAAATCTAACGAATGAAATAGACGGGACTTAGAGAGCGAGGGAGGCGTTGGTTAGAGAGAAAATGGGGGAAATTAGATCTCGGTGCTCACAGAGTGGGCTTAGAGAGAGAGTTAGTGGTATGAGAGAGAGAGCAGGGGCCATGGCCTAGTTAGAGTATAGTTAGCAAATCACAGTTTGATCGGCGATTTTTTCAAATAATCGGCATTTTTATGGAAACAGTTTTAAACGGTGACTGTTTTAAAAGGTTGGCAAAAAATTGCATAGTTTTCATAAAAACGTTTAAAACGTGATTTTTCATAATACGATTTAAATCAGGCCAAAAATTCGTATCCTTTTTTACCTATATTTCTTTTTTGAAAGATATTATTTTTTTCCCTGTTTTGTGTATTGCAGCCATTGCTACTTTCATGCTTTTGAAAAAAAAAATATTATTTCGAAAAAAAAAAAACTAAAATATAAATTTTCATCCCCACTGTGTTCTTCAAAGCCACAGTTGCAGATTGAAGGTATGAAATTTTTTTTTCCTTTTTATTTAAACTTAAACAAATAGATGCAAATGGATGCAAATTTCAGTTGTTATTATGGAAAATTATTGTGTAAATGAAATACTGTTTATAGCATACCATTTTGTAAAGAAAATCATATACATGCAGATTTCTGTGATTATTTGTGATGATTGTTTTTATGAAAATACTGTTTATGGCACAATTAGAGCTCAAAACATAGTCTTTTACTGATGAATGAGAAGTAGAGAGTGTGACTACAGGACCAAGTAATCAATATTTTACTTTTTATTATGTGATAACAAAGATAAACAATATAGTGTAAACTGTAAACTTACGTAGAGGATTAGTTCCCCAATCCTTAGTTCCCCAAACCTAATCCTTCAGCTCTGCTTGCGGTTTCCCAAAGAAAATGAAAAACCCTCTTCCTTTTATCTCTCTATAAATCAGTTAGGGCATCTTCACAGATCAGTATAGTTAGGGCTGTCTCTCAAACCACATCCTAAATCAGAGAGAAAAACCCTCTTCAAACTATCCCAGCATCCCATCTTCCTTTTCTCTCTAAAAATCAGTTAGGGCCTCTTCCATTAAAAATCAAAATCAGTTAGCGCCTCTTCCATTAGGATTTGTGAAGCCGATGATCTCTTCCATCTTCCTTCTTCCTTCTTCTCTCTATAAACCTTCTGTTCTCAATAAACCCTAAAGGATACGAGCGCAGCCCTATTTTCGTCTGTTCCTCTTCGTCCTCCTCACTCTAAACCGCGAACCCAAATTTCTAAGAGACTCTTTTTAAAAATTTGTAAAACTTTAACCATAGATATGCAGTGACCATAGTCACCGTACTATAGTTAAATCATAGAAAACAAAATCGTGTATTTTTTAGTTGGAGTAAGTGTGATGTTTAACTATTTAATGAATAAATTTAGGGGAAGCTTTCTATTCTGTCTTTATAACATAAAATTTTTAAGCTTACTCTTATCCAACCGTCTATTATGACCAACGGATAAGATCGCCCCAATCACAATATGACGTCTTTATATTATTTTATTTTTAATTTTTTTACCAATTATTTTAATACTATTTTTTGTATTTTCAATCCTCTATTAAACACGTACTAGCGAAAAAATTATAAAAAAAAAAATATTTTTAATAATATAAAATGACTAAAATACCCCTAAAAATTTTAAGAGGTATTTTGGTTATTATATTTTATCAAATAAATATTTTTAATATTTTTTATAGGTGCGCCCCAATGAGAAGATGGTACATACCAAATTTCATATTCATACAATTTGTATTAAAAAAAACTAAAAATAAAATATTTTGAGACGTCGGATCTAAGATCAAATAATGAGTGGCTCTCTAGATCAAAATTGGATGGCTCGATGGTATGCAGTATGAGAAGTATAGGAAACTTTCCCATAAATTTATATAGTATATTTGTCACATACCATAGTCAAAGTATTTACTGAATAAATTTATATAGTATATTTGCTTTTGGTATGTAATAAGTAGGTGTGATGTTTCTTAAAGTATTTAATGAATAGATTTTATATAATACATTTTTTTGGTATATACTAGTTAATTATGTATTTAATATTAGATAATTGAATGAGAGTCACGAGACATCTAAATTAATTATATTAGTCTAGTAAAAATTTTATAGATGACTTAGTTGTTAATGACTTTGACATAATTTTTATTTTTTAGAATCTAAAAATTTATAATATTATAAATTTATCGAATTTTTTTGCTCTGATTTTTTTAGCCTTATCCGGTATATTAGCAATATTTTTATGTGAAGTATTTTTGTCGATCTGTATTTTTTATCCAATTTTTTCATCCGACTTTTTAAAATAAAAACGATTTGTTTCCGATTTAACGGTGAGCCGATTTATTGATAGTCCCCGACTTGCTATGGGTTAGAGAGAGTGGGAGGAAAGTGGATTACCTGGTTATAGGGAGAGCAGGGGCATGGCCAGAAGGAGTGTGCTTTAAGAGAGAGAGCTCATGTTTAGGTTATTAAAAGGAGAGTGACGGAGTTTCTGTGGCATGAAAAATATGCCGTAGAAATGCACAAAATCAACTTTTTGGAAGGAAATGGGATCATGGAAAAATAGGTTTCATTTCCATGATTTTGATCTTCTTGATTTTAGGTATCGTAGTCTTCAAGCAATCGAAACAACGGGATTTTTATAATACCCAAGACATTATAAATCCATGTATCCAAACAGGCCTTAAGAGAATTCTTAAATCCTATCACAATGGAAGCCTGCAACTTAGCTTCATGGCAGTCCAAGGCTAGACAGGCACAACAGCCATGCTTTTTGGACTGCTCTTTTGGTGCACCACGGCTCTGTAAAAGTGAATCCTCCATTGTTTCCCAGATGAGAGAGAGAGTCGTAGCAGTTGAGAGAGAGAGAGGGGTAAGAGAGAGGTTAGAGGGACAATGGAGACTGGGGGTAAGAGGCAGAGACCAGCTATGTCTTGTTGCACATAGCAATCTTAGAAAGATGCACTTTGGAGCTTGGAGAGATAGAGAGAGAGCTAAAAGAGAGGGGAAGATAAATTTGATTTTTCAAAAACTTAATTGGGTTTCATTTTGGTTTTTGAAAAACCAAAATTAGATAAAACTATCTTTATTGAAAAAAATTGTTACAATAGTGAAAAAAAGGATATAAGTGTAATAATGGAAATTTAAAGGTATATTTGTAATAACAGTAAATATAACATATATATATATATAATTTTCCTAAAAAAAAATAAATTTGAGACCCAGAAATAGTACTTCTTGTAACACATTATCTAGACCGTATATTTTCAAGATTTTCATATATTTATAGATCTACTTGATTTTAAGTATTTGTAGAGTTTAAAATTTTATATATAGATATAAAAATAGATTTCCAGATAATCCTAAAAACTTTTTTACACCAAAATTATATTTTATCATAAAATTTGGAGGTGAGCCTTAATTGAATTGTTTAAGGTTGCAACTTTATAAAAACCACACCCATACTTTTTTTATCTCAAATTTCGAGAATGTAATCTTCACAACCCACAGAATAATTTTGGCAATTTTTTTTTTCAAAATTATCGATGTACTAGGAAAAGTTTATGCCTCGTGATTGAATAAAGATTGTCCAATTTTTGAAGGACTAGATCCAAGTGTCATAAAACTTGAAATTTATTTTATTTTTTTAAATAATCATCTAATAATAATTATATGTCTCGTCATTATCATTATCATGATCATCTAAGTTTATCTTAGTGGTTTGGTATCGACTACATGAATCATGTTTCTCCATTTTTATCTATCAAAGGCTATGTCAAACAAATGACATTGATATAACATATGTCGCCCTTTTAAAATCCAATAATTTTTTATTCGGATTGACAATCTAGATGAAAATAAGCAGGGACCAAATTGATTAATATATATATATATATATATATAGGGCGTGGTTTGTATAGAGCCTAGGCTCTAAACAATCAAATTAGAGCCTATCTTCAAATAGTGTCGGGAAATGTAGTTTCAATACCGAAAATGTTTGTGATAGCCTTAAAATATATATTTATCTATATTTATAAAGTTTGAAGCTTCAAAAATATTGCCGATCAATAGATTTATGAAAACTTGAAAATCTTGAAATTTGA